GAGCTTCAGCTGTTTCTTGATCATTATTACATAAGTTTCCATCCGTTTTTTTAAGAAGTGGTACTGATACTTTAGAAGATAGAGAGCATCTTATGTGTTTAAATAGCTTCTTAGGGTTATCGCTACTAGCGATATATTCTTCGTATTCTCTTCTTGCGTTGTCAATAATATTGATTAAATCGTTTGCGAAACGTCGATGGTTAACAAAATCATCATGTCTTTTGGTAGCTTTAAATTTTTTCCACATATTTTTCTTATGTTTAATTAAAGTTAAAAGTTGTCCATTGATCCAGGGTTTTAATTTGTTCTGAGGACATTTTTTGTTTTTTGTATTAGCCTTTACAATTTCAGATATCTTTGTATGAAATAGTGTCCACATATCTTCTACTAATACAGTACTTCTAAAAAAGTGATCCCAATCAATTTCGGAGAGGACTCTCTTTACGTTATTAAAGTTTGTGACACTATAGGTTACGTCCCTATCGGAATTAGGGGTTTCTATGTTAAATTGCATGTTAAATATAATAACGCCATGGTCAGATTTCCCAATAGGTGAGTGGACAGATGGAGAAATTAGAAGTTGGTCGTCATTTGTTAATATAAGGTCCAGAGTTGAAGGTTCTAGATTTAAGCGAAAGCGGGTAGGTTCGTTTATAAGTTGTTCAAGATTTGAGTCTACAATAAAATTTATGAAGTGTGAAACAGAGTTTTGCGATACTTCAAGACCTGCAGTAAGGGGCCAGGAAATTTCTGGATAGTTGAAATCTCCAACCACCACAAGATTGTCATGGGAAATAGATAGATTTGAAAGAACCTCAAAAAGCTGTTGGTCGTTTTCTAGAGAAGTTTTCTTTGGAGGACGATATAAACATATCAGAGTGGTTGAGAAAGATTTGTATGATAGTTTTAACGAAATTAAATCTATATTGGGAATGTTGATATCTAAGGCGGTGACAGAGTACGTTGAAGTGATGAATGACGCTAAGTAGATGCAGACCCCTCCACCAACATTATTTGCGCAGTCGCTTCTGTAAATTGTAAAACCGGGAATGTTAATAAGTGAATCGGGAATAGACAACTTGAGCCAAGTTTCAGAAATTAGAATAATGCTGGGAGAAAAATGTTGCACTGAGCACAAAAAACTATTAAATTTAGCAGTTAGAGAATCCAGGTTAGTATACATAAGGGTCCAATCGTTAAATTGTGGAGGTTGTCGGCTAGCGGGATTGAAAGGGATTTATCTTCACAATTTTTGGAATCCCGTTATGATATTTAATTGTTAGGTCATTTTCGCCATTCCGTTTTTTAGCTTCTAATTCATCTCTTAAGTTTTGAAGAATCTGTTGTCGTCGATAATGGTAATGTTCTTCAATGTTGCTATTTCTAAGACTTTCTTTTTGTTTCGTAGAACGTTTTTGGCGGCGTGTTCGGAGGGCATAATTACTTTGAGCCATCGTGGATAGCGACTATTTTGTTCAGCTTTTCCAACGCGGAAAAAAGTAATAGGTTGTTCGGAAGAATTCACTGCCTTCAGTACATTATTAATTTCTGTGGAGTCGTGTCTCTTTTTTTCCTCGAAATTTCCGTTAATCTCGGAAATACCACGAATTATTATATTATTGGCCCTTTTAAGACGATCGACCGCTTCATTTGCCAGTTTATCAAAAAAATTTACTGATGTTACTTCATCAACCTTGTTTAATTTGTCCTGAACAGCGGTAAGCTTGGAGTCTAATAACTCAATTTTTGATTGCAAGTCTAGTTTAAATGACTCGAAGAGAGCTTTTATGTCGCCAAATTTATCGAAATCTGAACTACAGTTATTGCAGACAATTTTAATTCCTCGTACTTTATTTCGAGTGACGCGATCGTCAGTCGATAACTCGGTACAGCCAACGTGTAAGTGTTTCTTGCATCCATAGCACTGTAGGTTGCTTTTGTCGCGATCCGACACTGATTTGGAACAATTCGCGCAAATGCTGGGCATGACAAATATAAAGAATTTATACCTTACCAGTTGAAAAACAGAGATCGATTAAAACTGGATTTCACAAAAAAAAGCACAACACAAATTTAAAAAGTCTAACTTATTGTAAATAAAAGTCACTTTCTTGCAGAGTAATTCGCTAATTTAAAACTTGTATAACTACACAAAAATAAACGGTAATTTACAGAGCGATTTGGAGTACGTGTTGCCTTTATAAAATGTAAAACACATAGAGATGCAGTTGGAATTATCAAAACTAGATGTTGGTGACTGGATTGTGGTCAAATTTAAGCAGGAGAAAGCCATAAAAGTGTATATGGGACAGCTGACAGAAAAAGAACCATGCCTGGAGGCAAAATTTTGTCGCAGATTTGGTAAGACATCGAGCTTTTACTGGCCTGTTATTGAGGACAAAAATATCATAGAAAAAGATGAAATCTATATGAATTTACCCATGCTGTCCATAACAAAAAGAGACAAAATAATATTTAGTGTAAATTTTGATAGCTATTATAACATAGGCTAAATTTATTATATATTTTTTTAAATAAAGAATTTTTCATACGCACATTAAACTTATTTTTTACACTTTTCCCATCAAAATTAAATACACTTTTAATAGAAAAATGAGCCGAAGGTTCCACTTACCCCATGCACGTGGGGCAAGTGAAACCTATGCAGAGTCAAAATAAAAATAGGAAAAAAAGTTGGTCTGTTAGGTGATTGTATGTGTGAAATATCCTTTTAAAAATGCACCTTAACTAAGCGTAATTAATATTATGCAGATGTAATGGCACATTTAAAAAAAAATCAGAATAAAATTGCAATTTGCGGTTCCACTTACCCCAGTGTACCTTATAAAATAAGAATTATAGAGATATATATCACAATCAATTTTCTTAAAAATTAGAATTTTTTTTTACTTTTTGTCAAATTTCTCGAATACGGACAATTTTAGAAAAATTATATGTGTGACAAAAATTATAGAGAATAACATTACAACCAACTTTTGTTTAAATAATTTTCTTTTTTAAGTGTAAATAACAGATATATTCCATAAAGTAGAAAAACGACCTTCTATTATAAAGAACCCCAGATGTTCCGACTATTCCCAAAATTTTAGCAGTTCCCCGCAAGAGGGATTAGAGCCTAAATTTGGTGTTTTCTTTTATTCTGTTTTTTGAGTTATCTTCAAAATTCGAAATTTGTACCTACTTTTTCTTAAATATCTCGAATACGGTCAATTTAGGAAAAATTATGTATGGGTTCAGAATTATAGAGAATGACATTACAAACATCTTTTATATGAACAATTTTCTAAAAAAATTTAATTTTTTGGTCACATTTCTCGAATACGGACCATTTAAAAAAAATTTGTATAAGAAAAAAATAATATAACAAGTAACTTTTATTTGAACAATTTTTTCCTCGAAACATATAAAAGTATATAAAAACGACTCTTCCCCCAGAAGTTCCCGCACGTACACACGCAGACACACGCACACGCCCACTAGCACACACATGCGCGGACACACATATCATCGCCAAAATAGTCAAAATATATTTGACATGTAATTTTAACCTAATACTATAGAATACAAAATTTAAAATAAGATCCGGTTAGTTTTATAACCTGGGGTTTATTTTAACCAAATTGTTAGAGAATAGACCCCGATACCTCTGTACTTTTCCCTAATGGAACAGACTACAGTGAATTGATTCTAAACCTACTCTATTGAACTCTACTATGCATATTTGCGTTCTTGATTATCTTAGATGATTTCAAAGCTATCGAATAGATATATCTATGGATAATTTATTTTATTTCTCTATTCGCTCCGTGCGTGACTTTTGTATTAATGGACTATTTCTGCCTATACCGAAAATACAATTTTTAATAGAATTCGTAATTAAAAGTATATATGTTAGTTTTAATAAAAGTATATGTGTGAAACAAGTAAAACATTAATTTATTATTATATATTTTTATAACCTAAACTAAAAAAAATAAGTATATTCAATAAAAATCAATAACAAAATAAAGGCAGGCAACAGTATTTACGGTAAAATGTATGAGAAATCTAATAAGTTGTCTTAGAAGAAATAACGTATTGTCAAAATAAAAAAAAATATCTTTAAATAATTAGCGTAAAGTTAAAATGTATAAACAGAAGAATTATTATTTATATTTTCAATTTTGTTCGAAAGAAAACATAGAATGAATGATTAAAACTGGTTTTTTATGAGTAAGTCACAAAATTGCATTCCAGCCACATACAATAATCGAAGGCAGAAACCCAGTTCTTGTTGCACGAACATTTAAGATTAAAGGAATGTTGAAGAACATCGTGAAATTATATTTATTGTTTATTTAATACCTTTCAAGTTTCTGATATCTACTATTTCCAATATTTCTGTTATTATTACAAAAATAAATGTAATTTTTCTTCTTATTGTACACATCCATTTATTTCTTTGATTTAATTTCCACTTTGCTACTGAACATTTTTATATTTTACACTGCTTTTTGTGCTAGTATTTTTACAATTTTCAACACAGCAACTCCGGTTGCTTATTGTATTGTTTTTACCTACTTTTTTGAAAAAAAAGTCAAATGTATACATGTATTTGATATGCTAAAATTACAAAATATCGCCCTAAAATGCACTTGCTTCCCCTACCATGACTTCGCACTGAGCGAATAAGATTTATCTATTTAGAAAATAACAACACTGGAAAATGACTAAATACTTATTCTGATTAGTAGGTTTGGTACGAAGACACCACTTTCAAATTATTCTGATTAGTGTATTGGAAATGACAAAGAAGTTTTGTTTACCGTTGATAAGTATGAGTGTATTGAGGAAGATTGTTTTGAAAAAATATATGCTTTCTTCATTGATTTTACTTATTGGAAATAAATCAGAAGAACAAATAGACAAGAAGTGTGTCCATTGACTCATTACTTTCTTGCAGTTCTTAATTTTAGCCTAACAATGATGTATCTACTTACAAAGAAAAGAAGAAATAGACCTGTCACCCTGGTAACTGATTGTGCCATTGTTATGAATATTATCTTGGTATTCACTTAGTTATAAACAGACTAATAACCAAAAAGTAGGTTCTTTTATTTATAGCACCTTTGGAGCTTGTAACTTTTTTAATAATTATGTTTAATATTTATTTAATTCCACATATTTATATTGTACCTACAATTTTACAAGAATATAATGATAAAAATTACCACTTTCAAGGATGTTTTTTTTGTTAAATGTAATAAGTTTATTTTTAAAAAACACCTTTTGTATCCAAATAAGAGTGAACACGATACAGGAAATTGTTATTTGTTATAAGAGCGATAATTTTCTATAATTTGGTAACAAACAATAATTTTTCAAATATTTCACAATTTTTATTTTATTTATCATTCCGCATATATTATTTAAAATGAAGCGAATTGCGTATAATAATAAAATAATCTTCCTCTAATGCATTCCCAGAAAGAAGATTTGATATAGGAAGAAAAATATCTGAATTCCCATTAATGAGTTTGCACTCAACATTTTTAAATATGACAACATTGGCCATTCGTTTGGAAAATAAGAACAAAAATGTAATGTTATAAATAACGATCAAAAATTAAAAAAATATTTGTCATAAACAGATTTACAATAATTTATCGATAATAGACTGTAAGTGTAGTATTATTTTTATTAAATAATTTAGCTTAATTACATTGATTAAATTTATTTACAAGAACATGAGAGTGCAGTCGATATTCATACAACCTTTATCAGGTTTTTAAATTTCCCGCTGCGTTGTTTGATATCGATTAAAGCGTCACATAGTAGTCAGATATTAACTGCGTTAAAGCTGGTCGTTGTTATATAAGCATTGGGTTCTTATGGGCGTTTCCCATATTTATCTCCCTTATCTCTGGCTTAAGGTTTGTTAAAAAAAGCTGCAGTCTCAAATATTTCCATATTATTGTAGTTTACGTTATAAGTCCGTTTTTTAGATCGTAGAGATCAGGTAAAGGACGTGTATCGTACAAAGTTTTATGATATACTGCACTTTATTACATTAAAGAACCAAAAATAAAAAAAAAATATCATTACAAGTTTCCGAATGTGAGTTAAAATATTGACAGTTCAGTTACAACTGACACTGCAGTCATAAATGTTGTTTAAATTAATATAATAATAATAATAATAGTATTTATTTCCATTCGATATAACCTTTAAAAAGCAGTCAAAAAAGGCATTTGTATTTATTTTCATTTCGTAACTGGTAACAATCAACTTTTTGTAATCATTTGCATAATTTTCTACTTTATACAAATAGTTGCATAAAGTAGATCGTTTTAACACTTGCTGCTGTTACAAAAACTGTAACTTTATATGTCAAAATCAAAAAAAATATATTACATAACAGCCTTGGAGACCTATGCAGAATGTCTATATTGGTCTCAGATAAACAAATGAAATATAGATACGCAACGGTCTGGATATACCCTTTTTTCTATTACTTTCTCTTTCTCCTGAGTCTTTGATGAAATTCGTCTATTTGACTGTTTTAAATAGCAGCATCAAAATGTAGTCACAAATATCAAAAAGCACTTGGAAATTGTTTGTACATTTTATGTAATTTTATATTCGAAGGGCATATTGTTACCCATCACTCTACAGTATGCTGCGGTCGTCATAAGTAAAGTTGCAAGTAAAAGAAGAAGAAAGAATATTCGGAAATGTCTAGAAATGTTATTCCTTGTCAAAAAAAATTCGGATAGTTCGAGAAGGTTCCAGAAAATTAAGGCGAGCTATATAAGGCGGTGCTCCTGACGTCAGGGGGAGTTTTATGACATAAGTTTTACGTTTATATTATCAGTTGTAGAATTGAATTGCAAAAGTTGAGTTTGAATTAAATCGAGTTACCAAAAACCTGCGTTGGTGACAGCGGTGGATTACAAAATAGAAGTTCATGGTAAATACTAGATCCACTGAGTACGAAAGAGGCATGAATAATTTAGGTCTACCAGCATGGTTTTTGAAGATGAAGAAGGAAAGGGAAAGGCAAGAAGAGGAGAAGGAAAATGCAGAACTGAAGAAAAGGAGGAACAGGCAACCGAGAAGAGGAGAACGAAAGACGCAGGAAAGAAGAAGAGGAGAAAAAGGAAAGGAGCAGCAAGAACAAACAAAAAGAGAAGAAAGAGTGGCTTAGAAAAGCTGAGGTAGAAATTATGAATGGCTTACTACAAATTCAGACAAGAGGAAGGTCAGCTTAACTTTCTTAGGACACAACAAGAAACGGCTATAGTAGAGCTGGAAAGGCAAATTAAAAACTAGTTGAGTTAAAAAGAAGAATTGGTAGCCTAGCTTTGGTAAGAAACAGAGAAACTGCAAACACTACCTCGTCCTCATCTACAACCGAACCAAACCTTATCCAAAACCCAGTTTCAAAAAGACCATTAAGCCACCCACGTTTGACGTGGAAAACGTATCGACCTCAATTTGAAGCTGTAGCTAAAGCTAATTTTTAGGCTGAAAAAGACATGGTGGTTTTATTAAAAGTGTTGGTGCGAGGACAGGCAGCAACAGTTTTATAGTTACTCCCTCAAAAAGAACCCAGTTATTCGTCTCTATTCCAAGCCTTGGATACAAGATATGGCCAGCAGCATTTGAAACGGGTATTCCAAAGCCAGATTAAGGTTGGTAGTCAGAAACATAATGTGAGTCTACAGGAATTCGAGGCGATATAAAAATATTGATTCATCTGGCTTGTCAACAGACGCCCAACGATTTACAAGAACAAATCGGAATACAGGCATTTATTGATGGACTACAAGATGTGGAAATATGGCATGTCCTTCGGCTACAATATCACAAGACGCTGAACGAGAAACTGATTGCAGCCTAGGAATGTAAAGCAATAAAACTCATATACAGATCTTCTCGCGCAGAAGTGAGATACATTAGATTCCAGGAAAGTGAAGAAGCTAATAATATTTCCCACATATCCTGTTACAAATCTTAGATATCCTGCAAAATATGCAACGAAACAGTCATAATGAAAGGAGGATATGCTTTGATTGCATAAGAATTAGGCACCTTTAAAGAACTTGTAGAAGCAGAACTCGTTCTATAAATCAAAAACCAGGGCAGAAAGTTACATAGATCCATGTCTCGAAGCATATCACGAAGTCTAATAAGAAATAATTACAGCAACTATGCATCCCGGAGAAGCCGTTCACCCACACCTAGCCGGCTTTCTAGCAATAACCAAAGAGGCCACCTCCATAGAAACGCAGACATTATCTTCAAGCGATCCTGTTTAGAACGACAATGCCTGTACAGTAAAGGGCTTGAAAAACAAGAGGAACCGGTTGATAAAGTTACTCTTCGGGCAACTATTATAAAGCCACAGACGAAGAAAAAATCACTCTTGAAATCCTAAGAAAGGGACAAAAGAAAGACAATGAGTTGAAGGTTATCCGAAAATGGCTTAAAAATAAAGTCACACCTACTAGGCAAGAGATAGAGCCAAATAGAGTAGAGGTATTTAAGGGTACTGGACTCATTGGGATTCACTGTATCTTCACGATGGCATATTGAACTGGAAGTGAGATAGCCCCGATGGAGTACATGTAAGTCCGTCAAGTGGTACTTCCGAAACCACATGTCAGAAGTGTGTTGGAGGAGCTTCATAACAGCCGTTCAGTAGGACATTTTGGTACTAAACGGACATTGGCACGAGTTCGGGAAAGATTTTATTGGGTCAATGGCCGACGGGATGTAGAGGGTTGGTGTAAAAAATGCCAAGACAAAGGTCTACGAATTTGCTTGGGAATATCTGAAAGTCAACAGCGACAAAGCAGAAGCTAGAATCGACATGCGTGCCACCTGAGACATTTTAAGATAGGCAACCCAGTATAGCTGTGCAATTCCAAGCACCAAGGAGGACTTAATTGAAACTACAACGGAACTGGAAAGGCCCCTAGACCATTTTTGAGAAAAAATCAATGACCTGATTATACTACCTCAATATATTATACAAACCACAGATAGAACATAAGACACTGCGCTTAGATTCATCATTTTGCAAAATTCAAGGTTCCTGAACCTTGTCTAATTATACTTGATAGAGCAAAAACTCATTTAGACTACAGGATAGTCAAGACTGCGGATCAATACGAGATTACCGTGTACTGTCTTCCTAGTAACACCACACACGAACTTCAGCCGATAGACAAGGCAGTATTCCGAACATTTTAATAATACTGGGACGATAAAGTTATCAAGTATTTTTCTAATCACCAGGATCGTGTTATTACCAAACAACGCTTTGGCGCAATCTTTTCTACAGTTTGCGTCAAAACCATGACTCCTGCTAATATCAAATCTGGTTTTTCGTCTATAAGAATTTATCCTTTTAACCCAGATGCAATTCCGGAGATAGCATTTGCCCCTAGTACCGTCACGAATTAAGTACCACAAATACAAGATGTCGTAAAACCACCAGAATCACATAGCGGAGCTTCCACTGTGGGAGATAATAGTTTCCCTTCAACATCGGGAACAAAACAAAAAAAACCTCTTTGACCTACTATACCTGCCCCGGATACTAGTGACTCTGAATCTTCTTTTAGTCTCTACGATTCCAATATGGATGAAAATTCTAAATCTGAAAACATACAAAATAACTCCTACGGAACCTATAACGTATCATTTACTTACATGCTTAATACTCTAGAAGAAGCAGTAATAAAGGCTAAAAAAAAAACGAAAACTTGTAATTAACAACAGGGCACAAGTAGTCACGCGAGATTTATTTACTAGCAGTTTCAAATCAATCGACGATACAGCAAGCACTAGTAAAAAAAGTGTTTCCAAAAGAACAATTTCTTTTTCTAAAGGAAATACGGAGTCCGCTAAAAATAAGGAGTCTAAAAATAAAACAGAACCCTGATACTGTAAATTATGCTGTGAAAACAAGGTAGCTGCTAATATGCGTTTATGCGTTTATGTAAAGAATATGTCCATGAAGAGTGCATGGGACTTACCGCAAAAGACAAGATAGTTTTTCTTTGTAAAAATTGTGTTGTAAAATAAAAATACTCATCGGTGTTTTCATATTCTGTATTTATAACTATGCTTATTGATA